ACCTCGGTGCCGACCAACCCATGACTAGATAACTATGAGGCTGCAGGATCCTCAAGTATTGGTACCACCAGTAAGTCCAAAGATCCTAAAAGGGTAGGCTCAAGCAGATCGTAACTCTCAGGAGAAAGGAGTGGCAAAGAAAAACCCAACTCCTCTAGAACGGCACTGACGGAGTCTTGTAGACAGTGGGTATTAAGTACACCAGCACCACAGAAGGCTACAGCGACATCTGCTGGCCATTCCGACACAGAGGACCTCCGGTACCGATGACTCTCTCCACTTCAACGTCATCTACTCAGCTGACTTCAATGGTACCAATGGCTGTTCCGGTACTGCAGGAATTTCAGTTCCCCAAAGACTTGATGATCTCGGAGATGCTTGAATCACCCTTACTAGGCACCGACATAACCACGGTACAGCTTACACCCACGTCCCTGGACTTACATGTGGTATCGAGATATTCTACTCCACCATCTATGACTGCTCCACCCCTGTCAAGCGACGACGAGGAAGATGATGGGGATGACCTATACTCAGTGTTTGTCCAAGGTTCTCCATTACAGTACTAGAGAGCTAGTCAGGTAGAAAATCATGTGCCTTCAATCTACTACTAGAGTAGAAGAGACCCACCAAGTTGGTATGGAGACCCTTGGATGCCCCCACTCATGCCCTTTCCACCATCTCATTGGCTATAATAGAACCCATGGGTGGCATATAGACAACAATTTTTGAAGTCTTCTAGCATCACCCAGAGGGATAAAGGAAAGTGATCTTCAGCATCAATAGCCAGACTCCCGATCCTCAAGAGGAGACTTTTGAGGAACAGGAGGAGAGACTAGACAAGGAAGCCATTCCAATGACCAACATTTCTTCATCATCTCCTGATGAGGTGCTCATGCCTCCTCCTCCAACTACAGCAGACGACTTCAAGCAATTTCAAGATCTCTTTAAAAGGGTAGTGGATTCCCTGTAAATCCCACTTGAAGAAGTCAGAGAGTCACAGCCTAAACTGCTTGACATCCTATAGACACTGTCATCAGCAAAGATTGCACTCACCATCAATGAGGCATTGCTTGATCCAGGGAAAACTATATAGCTGACACCAGCCACAATACCCCCAACGGGCAAAGGAGCGGACAAAAAATATGATGTGCCCTCTACAAACAGGGACTTTTTATTTTCTCATCCTTCCCCAAATTCACTGGTTGCCAATGCTGTTAATGAACTTTGCAGACAGCACCGCGCTAAAACAACACCATATAAGGACTGGAAGCGACTGGATTTATTTGGACATAAATCCTATTCTTCAGCGATCCTGCAATTTAGGATCGCTAACTATCAAGCCCTCGTGGCAAAATACAACCATACCAGTTATTCTAAATAACTGGTTTTCTAAATAACTGGGGGGGAGGGATAGCTCAGGGGTTTGAGCATTGGCCTGCTAAATCCAGGGTTGTGAGTTCAATCCTTGAGGGGGCCACTTGGGGATCTGGGGCAAAATTAGTACTTGGTCCTGCTAGTGAAGACAGGGGGCTGGACTCGATGACCGTTCAAGGTCCCTTCCAGTTCTAGGAGATGGGATATCTCCATTAATTAAAATTAAATTAAACGCCTTTATTGAACATCTCCTGTCGGATCAGAAAGAGCAATTTCCGTGACCATTGCTGAGGGGTCAGCTCCTTGTGAGAACAGCATTGCAGGCGTCTCTGGATGCTGCAGATACAGCTGCTCATTCCATTTCCACAGCAGTTGTCGTGAGGAGAGCGTCTTAGTTTCATCTCTCTGGCTTTCCCAGGGTGGTGCAAGCTATGGTGGACCTCCATTTTGAGGGATGTAAATTGTTTGCACAAAGAACTGACAAATCCTTACACACATTAAAATATTCTAGGATCACATTATGTTCTCTGGGTATTTACATTCCTGCCCAAAGGAGGAGATGTAGTAAGTGCCAGATGGCACAGAGATCTTGGCCCTACTGACTTTCCCTCTCCCCAGAGAAATTATGATCCTCAAAGGAACAGACAGGGATTACAAAAATGGAGACCGACAGTCCCACAATCATCAACATCACAACTTTCTACATCCAAACAACAATTTTGATGCATTAGTTAAGGCCCCAAGCTATTACCCCCAGTCTCATTTGCTCCAACAACATGAACATCTCCACCAATTTTGATGACGGATGCATTCCTAATGGGATGGGGAGCCCACTTGGACACCTACACTGTTCAGGGCAAATGGTCCCCTCTTGAATCCACACTACATATCAACTTACTAAAGCTTAGAGCAGTCAGGAACACAGGCTCACACTTCCCACCAATGATCAAAGACAAACATGTAAAAATTTTGACAGACAAGATTGCATGTATAGCCTACATAAACCACCAGGGAGGAGCAAGATCACCTTCCCTGTGTGCCGAGGCAGTGGAACTGGTGCATTCATCAGCAGATCGGCAACTCAACAACTTGCCTCCTGGGCATACCGAACACTACAGTGGATATTCTCAGCGGAAAATTTTCCAAAGATCATGAATGGGAAGTTGACACTACCATCCTTCACAGCTTATTCATACATTGGGGAACTCCAAAGATAGACCCGTTTGCCACAGCCAAGAACAAGAAACGCTCCCAATTCTGCTCCAGAATAGGTCTGGGTCACCGTTCTCTCAGAATGCTTTTCTGCTCAGATGGAACAGACATCTCTTATGGGCCTTTCCACCAATTCCACCAATATCCAAAGTGATATTCAAGATAAAGCAAGAAAAGGCCAGAGTTATTCTTATAATTCCAAGACAGACGTGGTTTCTGAACCTTTTTCATCTGGTGGCTTGTCCACCAATTACTTTCCACCCCGTTACTCAAATTCTTTCTCAAGATGCAGGCTTGATCCATCACCCAAATCTGCAAGTTCTCTGGCTCAAAGCATGGCTCCTTGATGGTTCCAGAGCTTAGAAATGAACTGTTCTGAGGATGTGAAGGAAGTACTGTTACCTAGCAGAAAAAATAACTACCCGTCACACATACATTCAAAAATGGAAGAGATTCCAACTCTGGTGTGATGCAAGACAGATTACTTCTACATCCACTTTGCTACCGATTGTGCTTGACTGCATCCTAAGCGTAAAGAAATCAGGCCTATCTCTAAACTCGGTAAACGTGCATCTCGCAGCCATTAACACTTTCCACCAGAAGACAGATGATCATTCGGTGTTTGCTCATCCTACAACAAAAAGATTGCTTAAAGGTATGGGTAACTTCTACCCTCCAATCAAAGACTCCGCACCAGTATGGGACCTTAATCTTGTCTTAAACTGCCTTATAAGATCATCCTTTGACCCTAGGGCCACTTGCTCACTTCCACACCTCTCTACGAAAACCACATTCCTAGTGGCCATCACGTCAGCTCAGAGAGTGGGAGAAAGAGGGGCCTTAATGGCATACCCTCCTTTAAAATTTTATTAAAGGACAAATCACATTGTGACCGCATCCCAAATTCCTACCAAAAATACCTTCAGCCTCCTCCCCTCTGCTTTGGGGTTCTTCCGTATGAGCTCTGCGGTAGGGAAGGAACTGAGGGCAGTTTGCCTGCACAGCACTATATAACAGCAAAGCACAGCGCAAGATGGGGAGAGCACATGTGCAGGCCAAACAGACACTGCTACCAAAAATCTCCGATCTGAGGCGCAGGGACGCGAAGACACCTAGAGTGGAGCACCCATAGGGACACACATCTCGAAGAACCTCAATTACTGCACAAGGCGAGTAACCTTTTCTTCTCCAGCCAATTAGCTTCCTTGGCCAGCAGGCATTAAGCCCTAGGAGAAGCCCTCTAGAAATGAATCACAAGAGCTAGAGATTGCAAAGGATTGTACTGCCCAAGGGTTAGAAACCATTCTGCCCTTCTGAATGCCAGTCGGTGCAGCACTTCTTAAATTGCAGTAGGCCTCTTCAGTTAGAGAGGCTGCACTGAGGTGCCAGCAGTTAACCTTGGCACGATCACTCACATTCATCTTAGGATACGCAACCTGGATCACGGTCAATTCCTATAACTGGTTTCATGTAAGGGGCCATGGTGCATGGAGGAGAGAAAGAAGATGCACCTTGAACAGGGCTGTCTAGAGGCATTATGCCCTTGTAATTATACTCTCCCGAGGCACTAAGGGGGAACTTGGTGAGAAGCGGCAGCCTTTAATGAGCTGCAATCTGTCTGCAGTGTTGCCTGGAGTCACCAGCACAAACAGGGAGTGAGCCTGTGGGATCCTTGCCCCCAGACACTCCTCTTTTGGGGCCACTAGCTTTGCCAGCCATGCTACCATGTCCCTCCTGTTTGACTTCCCCAGCACCTCCTGCCAAATGAAGGCTGCTATCAGCGTGACTGTGCAGAGGGAGGGGCTGCTTGCACCCTCTTCCTCCTCTGCCGCCCCTATGACATCTCCAAAGGAGTATCACAAAAGGAGGGTCGTAGGAAGGTGACAAAGGTCCCCAGGGAGTAGCTGTCCAATATCACAGCCCAGCTCCAAGCTCCTGAGTGATCTGTGGTAGAGATGGATCAAAGGCCTTTTCTGTGACATACCTTTATTATTTGGGCTGTTTGTCAAATTTTAAACAACAGGGCTACAACAGCACTGCAAACAACTGTATTATTTGGGCAGTCCAGGCAGTGGTCCCTCGTAATGCACCTGACAAATGTGGGTCTCTGGTGGCTCTGACCATGTTTGTTGAAGAGATGGTCCCATGTTGAAAACCCGGATCTAAACTTCACAGTGATTGAAATCTGGCTCGGAGTTTTGGGTTGGTTTGTGTTGATTTGCACAGTTGGGGCTTTTGCTTCATTTTGACTCCAGAATTCACCCTGTAAATGGCTTTTTGAAATGAGCAGCGCCTTTCCGGTGGCTGTTGAAAATCCCGGTCTTGTTTTGCCTTTGCTTTTGGTCCTGGGTGTCAAAGCTGCTCGGGTGGGGCGCCTTGTCCCGATAAACCTCTTTGTGCTTCTCCTCTAGACGTATACAGGTTCGATATTGGTGGCAGTGAACCCCTACCAGCTGTTACCTATCTACTCCCCAGAGCAGATACGGCTGTACACCAACAAAAAGATTGGGGAGATGCCCCCCCACATCTTCGCAATAGCTGACAACTGCTACTACAACATGCAACGCAACAACAGGGACCAGTGTTGCATCATAAGGTGGGTTTGTGAATGCAGGGTCGGTCAAGCCTTGTTTTTAACATTCCAAGTGATAGGCCTTCTACCACTTCCTTTGGTAATTATTCCACAGGCTAATCAAGGTGAATCTCAGGATGTTTTCTCTGATATCCACCTTAAACTTTCTCTTTAATTTCATCCCATTATTCCTAGGGTGACTATACATGCAGAGATCTATAGCTTTGAAGACCACAAAGGCCCATTATCTTCACCCAGTCTGACCTCCCGCATAACACAGGCCATAGAATGAATTACACCCAGAAATTCCTGCCTCCAGCCATAACTTACTCCATAGCTAAGCTGTCTAACCACCTGCTTTGGAGCAGTACCTTGCTCCCGAGTAGGTCGGCTGAAATCCATGGGACTACCAGCACTGTAAGACACTGCCCAGTATGAATTAGAGTGGCAGAATCAAGCCCTCCCTCAGGTGCTGTGAAACTCTTTTTGTGGACCTGATCTCAATAGAGAGATGGTCAGGCAGACAATCTCCCCTCCTTCTCCCCACAGATCCCCTCCCCTCCTATTTACGCTCAAATGGATTGTCTGCAATAGCATCAGAGCCCCATGGCATCTATAAAAATGGCTTCCGTGGAAGTGTAATGTTTTAGACGTACAGAGTGTATTCGTAGCTGTCTCTTAATGCAGTTCGGCAGCTTGAAACAAGACAGAGAACTTGCTTCACTTGGCCAACTAGCTGTCCTCTGAACACAAGCAAGTTTCTCTGATCCAAACTGATTCCTCTGTCGTCTTGATGTTTACACTCTCAGAAGGCTATAATGCTGGACTGAATTTGCTTATCGATATAATATAATTATGTCACGGAGGTCATGAGTTCCCTGATTTTCTGGGATGTCTTCTGGGGCAGGGCTGGAGCAGCTGTCAGTCCAGGGGCCGCCGGAGCAGGGGCTGCCGGAGCAGGGACCACCAGAACAGCTGACCGGCAGCCAGCCCAGCCCTGGGGCCGCCGGAGCAGCAGCTGGGGTTGGGTCAGCCCCTGCCACAGGAGCAGCAACGGGGCTGGAGCAGCTGCAAGCCTCAGCAGCGCTCTCTTTGCCCCGGCTCAGGAACAGGTCAGAGGCTTCTGTGAATTTTTGTTTACTGTCCCTGACTTTTACTAAAAATACCTGTGACGGAATCATAGCCTTACTTATCGACGGTGTTCAAACTGGGCATGGGCCTGACCCCAAACTTAAGATACAGGCCCCATCGAACTTTGGGTGGCGCTCCTAATCCAAAATCAAATCTGGATCCTAAGCCTGCAGTGGATTCCTATCCCCGTGATAGGCCATACAAAATCCCCAGATCCAAATATGAATTACGTTGGGAGTGTTCTATGGCCTGTATTAGACAGGAGGTCATCGTGGTCCCCTCTGGTCTTGGAATCGAGGAATCTGTGAATACCTGTAAGTTTAGGGTGTTTGAAATCCAAATGTAGAGTCCACCTGTACTAGAAACACATGCCTCAAGATTTCCAGCCTGTTTGTTGAATGCAGAGCCAGGGCCCTGGCAGTGGGGAGACAGGGCATTTACTCACGTGCATTCCTTTCAACTTGTACAGTGGCGAGTCTGGTGCAGGGAAGACGGAGAGCACTAAACTGATCCTGCAGTTCCTGGCTGCTATCAGCGGGCAGCATTCCTGGATTGAGCAGCAGGTGCTGGAGGCAAACCCCATTTTAGAAGGTGAGCCTTGAAAAGACGGTGGGTGGAGGGAAACACGTCTGCTAAAATTAAACTGCATTTCCCACGTACAGCGAGAGCCAGAATTGCATGAGCTCAACACCCGCCACTGGGATCAGACTTTTAAAAGAGCTCAACCCTAGAGCTGGTCAGAAAATAGATTTTCCATCTTGTGAAAAAAAAAAAAAAGGATTTCACCATTTTTCTCCTCCCCAGTTGGAACAAAATGCCAAAACGCTGAAATTTTTACTAACTGAAATTCCATGACAATGTCATTTCAGGTCAATCAAAACATTTTGTTTTGATAAATTCACAGCTTTTCGTTTTGATTTCAACCCTTTTTTCTTTTAAAAAAATGTTCATATAAAAATATATAAAATAAATAAACTTCTAAACAAAAAGCAGTTTAGAAACAGAAAATCAAAAGGGTCAACATTTTCGAAATGTTGTTTTTTCCAAAAAAATTTCCTAAATGAAATATAGTCAAAATGCGTACAGTTTTGAAAAAAAAATAAAGGGGGTTATCTGTGTGCTGCTTCTGGTGCAGAAATGGGCACTGTGTGCTCTTCTTAACATCTGTCACCATCATGACGTAGACACTCTGCTCAGCTAACAGCTGTGAAGGTTTTGCTTGGTAACGATTCTGTACAGCACCTTCCACTGGTTTCCCTCCCTGGTTAACATGAGCCTGCGTTTAATTTGATCAACGCCTCAGAACCAAATGCTTTGTAGTAGAAAAAACAATCATAGCAATCCCACCTTGTGCTTTGATCAGTTTTGAACACTTTAAGCTGCTTGTACAGTAATAGCTTTCTGGTTCTAGAAAGCTGCTGTGGAATGAATGTGGAGAGCCAGAATTCTGAATGAGGCAGGAGGAAAAAACAAACGAGTTCAAGGAAGATTCAAGCCATAAGGAAGGCCACATTGTCAGCCCCGTATTTACATAGGTGAGCAGGGACTCCCATGAATAGTCTGGCGCTACTTTTGTGAGTTGACTGCTCCCTGCCATGAATACGGACTCACAAACTTGCCCAGGCATCATTGAGAACATTGGGCAAGATTCCAATGTCCTTACTCAATAGTACTTTACTTCAAAAGGAGTCAATAGGAGTTCATTACTAAACTAGAGCAAGGGTCCCAGAATCTGGCCCGCTGTTACTGAGATTCTAAAACACTGCCAGGTGCCCTGCCAGCAGTGCTAGGCACCCTGGTGGACAGGCATATAACAAGATCAACGGCTTATTTCAGTGGGGAACAGACTTGATCGAATGAAGTAATAAGACTTAGAGGGGAGTTTTGTCTGTCTAGGAGATTCAGCATTGGGCCTTTAATTTGTGGGTTAAACTAATTATCTTTCCGAAGTTACAGTAGAGGCTTGAAGCTGTTAGAAAAAGAGCATTATTGTAACGGCCTACCCAGGACTGAACTTGATGGAACGCCTGTGGAGTTACCCTTGTTAGACCAAGTGGTGGAGCTCGGTGCTAACCTCCCACTCGAACGTGACATATGACAAATTATTTTAATAGGTGCTCTTTTTATGGGGATATCTGTAGCCAAAATTCAGAAAAAGCCTTTCTTTCATGGTTGTAAGAGGTCAGTGTGATTTTCCGTTCGGGTTTCTATGTATATAGATCTTGCTGTGATCTGGAGGATGCATTTTGTTTGCGGCCTATATTCCTTAAATTAATATCTGAATTAATTAATCTCTTTAATGTGCTGATTTGTATTGTTTGTTGAACATGGGCGCCCTCTGGTGGTTGGTGTAGCAGCTGCACATGTCCATGGATGACCCACCATTCCTTTCTGTCCCACAGGCCAAATTGTATTCTGATGTTCTTATCCTCCTCCACCTCACCGCTTGCAGTCTCCCCCTTTTGACCCTTACCCCACTAAAGTCTATCCAAAATGCTGCTGCCAAAATAATCTCTCTCACCCGTCACTTAGCTCAGATCACCCCCCTTGTCTTGAGCTGATAAATGTCTCTTCCTTCACACTATCTCCTATGCAACCCCCTTCTGAAAGGAGTTCCCCATAAACATCCCCATTTTCTCTGCCCTGGGTTGGATTGGGATTTATGACCCACAGATAAAAGGCTGTGCAACCTGGTACCAATCCCCTGAGCCATCCTTGCTCCATTTTGTGTCTTGTTTTTGTTGCCCTAGACCAAACAGATTCCTTCCTGAGTCTGGGTACAGATCTCACCTCTGCTGTATTGTGTTGCTTATTCACAGCTTTTGGAAACGCGAAGACGATTCGTAATGACAACTCCAGCCGATTTGGTAAATACATCGACATCCATTTCAACAAGAGGGGAGCCATCGAAGGGGCAAAGATTGAGCAGTACCTGCTGGAGAAATCTCGAGTCTGCAGACAGGTGAGGCAGTTGAGAAAAGGCAGGGCTGTGTATTGGTCTTTCCTTTCTTTGGCTATCAGCAGGCTCATCGTCCTAGTAGAACTGATTCCTTCCTCTTCTGCTCCAGGCCCAGGATGAGCGGAATTACCATGTATTTTACTGTATGCTGAAAGGAATGACACCAGAACAGAAAAAGAAGCTGGGTCTTGGGAAAGCCACTGATTATAACTACCTCGCTATGGTAAGAACAGCAGAGCAAGATCTTGGGGAGCACTGCTTGGGCCTTGTGACTTTTCCTGATTATCTCTGTATATAAGGGAGTTACAAGCAGAGCTGCAAGAAATGTTCCCTAACCTGAAACCGTGTGGGACCCACATGGGAGCTTTGAGATTTGTTGCAAACTTGAGACCCAGCCTAGAGGTCTGTGGTAGCTCTTTGCTCCTACAGGAGTGAGCCCCACAGCCTTAGATTAGCCGCTGAAGGCATCCTGTCTCCTGCACGTCGGGGCTTCTCTACTTCCATTTCTCCTGAGGAGTGGGACGGTTGAGGTGCTGTTTTTAGGTATGCTCAGCCCAGACCATTTAACGTTGATTTGGAAATGAGGGCCGAGACCTTCAATGTGACGTGATGTTCTAGCAGAAAGCAGTGGAATGAGTGGAGACCAGGGCTGATGAGCATGCAGTGATCTGAGTTCTGAGGAGGTGTGCTGCTGCAGTCTGCCCTAGCTGGAGATTTCTCAGGGCTGTGCTTTCAAGCCCAAGTAGATTTCACCGCCATAACCCAAGTGGGAGGTGGCAAAGACAGGTATAATCAAGTTATCACCAACATGGGTGAACAGTTGGAGATGGTGGAAAGTGTTCCTTGCAGCCCAGCATCAGTGAGGAGTCCAGAAGGGGAGGACTCCTGTACTGCAGTCTGTCTTGACCATTTGTGGCCAAGTGTCCCAGACTTCTGGCATGTTTTCTTCTGTCACTATCTTGCTAGGGTTTAACATTGGTCAGCCCTTCTCCATCCACGGGGGGAGGGATAGCTCAGTGGTTTGAGCATTGGCCTGCTAAACCCAGGCTTGTGAGCTCAATCCCTGAGGGGGCCATTTAGGGATCTGGGGCAAAAATCTGCCATGGGATTGCTCCTGCTTTGAGCAGGGGGTTAGACTAGATGATCTTCTGAAGTCCCTTCCAACCCTGATATTCTATGATTCATATGCTGATCTCAGTCAGACACAGGGATAGATGGATGGCAGTGGTGTCGTTGCAGGTCTGTTTGGACAATACTTTTGTAGAATACTTACAGTAGGGCCAACTCCAGAGGTCCATAGTCAGCTTTCATTCATTCATTGCTTAGAAAATGCCCATGGACTTCAGTGGAAACTTAGCTGAGTGAGAACTGAGGATTTACCTCATAACATGAGATTTCTTTTTCAATTGACTTTAGTGGGGAAAATGCTAGGGCCCAGTATACAATATGGCTACAGATTTCTGTACCTATGCGGCTTCCTGCATGCACTGCACACACTGTGTCACTGCCCTTCCTTCCCAGGGTAACTGCACTACCTGTGATGGCAGAGACGACAGTAAGGAGTATGCAAACATTCGCTCTGCAATGAAAGTCCTGATGTTCACCGACACTGAGAACTGGGAGATCTCAAAGCTTCTGGCAGCCATATTGCATATGGGGAATTTGCGGTATGAAGGTAAGTGGAAAATTGTTGCATAATTAAATGCTGAACTAACTCGGATGCTGATACATTGTCCAGGTGCCAAAGCCAGTGAGATAACCAAAATACCTAGCTCTTGTCTAGTATTTTTCACTGCTTGGGCCTTGTGACTTTTCCTGATTATCTCTGTATATAAGGGAGTTACAAGCAGAGCTGCAAGAAATGTTCCCTAACCTGAAACCGTGTGGGACCCACATGGGAG